GAGGAAAAGTATATTTTTCGTTCTTAAACTCTATCAAAAGTATATAAATGGTCCCTTAACTTTGAAACCAGCAATACGTAGTTGCCGCGCTGCGAATCACGATAGCAGGTGCTGCTCTTGCTCGCCGTCCTCGGACGAGCTCTGATGATGTTGGACGCTCTGTGGCAGCCGAGCTCAGCCCGCCGCTGCGTCGTGCTCACCGGCTAGCTCCGGTACGGGCGTCATGAGGTGAGTACGAGTTCGACCCCGATGCGGCTGCCACTCGATCCGACAATCCCTCATTAGTCGTTACTGCCTTTTGCACACCGTGTGCTCTCTTATCTACCTGCTCGTCGCCATCACAAGCTCTGAATCGCTGAACCTCAGGACAGAGGCATGCTGCCAGGAGCGGCTGACACCACACGCCATGTGCTCCACAAAATGACTACAGCAGTAATAAGAAGAAATGATAGAGTAATGTTGCCACGTGGACAAAGAACGGTCAAAACCACGCCACGTCAACCCAAAAACCACTTCAAGAGAGCAGAGGGACTAAACTAATCCGGTTTGATAAATTGAGGGACTGCGTTTTGCTGGTTTCAGAGTTGAGGGACCATTTCTATACTTTTGAGAGAGTTCAGGACAAAAAAAATAATACTTTTCCCAATATAGGATGATCTCACACATATTATGAATCAAAAGAGAGGTATTCAGTAATAACACTTTACTATATACTTACATTCTTCAGTACTGACATATGGTCTATAACGTCCCAGTTTCACTACTACTTGTACAAAGTACTCTGTCAAACATTTCTTTCAAAAAAATATACTCAGGTGAAAATATACTGTCATATACTGTCAAACAACAGAGTACTGGCACATACTGCTGTACTACACTTGGGTGAACCCTTTTCCTCAAAAAAAAAAATTCTTTTGTTTGCAGTGATGCCAAACGGCCAATTTACATATCTGTCATATGCAAGTCATACGCTTGGTGCTTGAGCGCCATGAGAAGTCACTGGAGCTATTTAAAGGGTAGGTGTTATAGGTCGATAGCAAGTTTAGACATACAACTAATCAGAAATTACTAGCCAAATTACTTATGACTTAAGCCGTCCTTGCTGCTTTGGGAGAATAAAAAATAAGCAGCAGAGGAGGTTTGAAGAAAAGAAAAATACAAGAAGATCTAATTAACATCACAAGTTACGTTATGCAAAATACTAGGTTAACACGTCATATTGGGTGTCGGGTAGTTTTCCCAAAATACTACTCCCTCCGTTCGAAATTACTTGTCGCGGAAATGGATGTATCTAGAAGCAGATACATCCATTTCCGCGACAAGTAATTCCGAACGAAGGGAGTACGTTTTACACATACATGTAGCCAGCGGACTCAACGACTACAACAGTCGTCCCACAAGCACAACAGTATACACAAAAATGGACACAACCATCCCAATCAAATGCAAGCGACACATATAGCAAATGGCTCCTTGTGCTGGAGTCTGCTCACCAGTAAACGCCAACAAATCTCCATGGAATTGCTTCAACCAAATTCCAGTAAGCTCCCCCTCTTGAGAAGGCTCCCTCCAGGTTGGGGCAGTCCAGGACATAGAGTTCCTCAAGGGCTGGGAGCTGCTGCAGGAGTCCCTCCGGTAGTGTCTCTATCTTGGGCACCTATGCATCCACAACTCTTTGAGCGCAGTGACTCCATACATTCCATCAGAAAATGTTGTCAACGCGTCACACTCATCAACTTTGAGCACTCTCAAATTTTTGACATCCTCAAGAATTGTTGGCATGGTCTCCAGCTTGTGACAACCACCGATGTACAATTTTTCAAGAGATGCATGTAACTTTGGTACCTCCACCAAATTCTCACAACTGCTTATACTAAGATCCCGGAGTTGAGGAGGCAGCACATTTCCATCATCAGATATTGTTGATGGAAGTGAACCTACTAAGTTGGAGCAATTCGGCCATACGGTTTTATAAACAAAGGTACACGGAGAGATTTTTTATATTACGTTTTAACGTAAGAAACATCTTCCAAAAAAAAAATAGTCCCGCTATCGGCTAGGTGTCCTCTTGCATGAAAGTCATGCTTGTCATGATCATGATCATGAAACCTCACCTCTGATTCGATCAATGTGGGAGAAAAATGTCGAGGATTTAGTTCGGGGAAAGTTCCCGAACTCTATGGTATTAATGAACCAAAATTTTCACTTCCGTCATTGCCGACCAATGTGATCCTTTAAGATTGCTAGCTTTCGGTTTCATCCAGTCTGAGGTACTAGCTCGGATGACCCGGTAGTAACAATCACAGAGGTACTCCCTTTACCGCCTAGCCGAACAATCAGGAATGTAGGGGTAAGCACAGGAGCCAGGCAACCCAGCTTGGCCAAAATCTTAAGTCAAAGTGATGCATATTTATGGGTTTATAACGATGATTGTAGAAGGCAGCC